TTAGATTTGTGCCACCAAAGGATATATTTAGAAAATTTTTCTACTCTTTAGGGCCAGACAAAAATTTTCAAAAATTACAAAAATAAAAATTCTTATGGTCTTACAGTTGAACTGTCTATTTAATTGCTTTTGTAATACCTTAGAGTTCCTAATTAAGTAATTAACAAAGAAGATAATGAAGGCATTATACAGACATATATGTTTATTTCAAATTGTTAATTGTTTTCTTTTATCAACATTATCAACGAACTGCTGCAATTATGTAATGCAACAAGTTCCTCTTCTTCTACTATCGCAACTTTACAAATATCCCATAGGAAATCCTTCTCCAAATTGTGCCGAATCTTATACATATAGTTTATTACGCTGTTACTCTGCTTCCTAACTTATTTAATAGTTTTGAGTTTATCTTTGATGTTATTATTGTAGTAGTTGTTGCTATTTTTTTTTTTTTTTCTTAATATTCCTACCATATATAGAAATATAGTTGTTGTTGTTGTTATTATTATTATATTATTACCAAACCAGCGCGGCCATTACGTTTGATCCTGGCATTCTATTGTTCCGTTTCAAAGGCCACTATTATGTAAACAATCGGCATCTTTGATCTTGCTGGCTTCAAAGCGTTGCCGAATTGTTTTATCTTTGCCGCTCTTCTTCATTTATTAAAGAAGTAAAACACAAAAATAACAACAACTAAAACAGCTACCACCATTGAGTCAATAATAGTGATAATGATGATGTTGCTGACTACGTTGAGATGGTGATGATCATGATGTTGAAAATACAAGAAGATTCAACTTCGTCTTACTTTAAGCTTTACAATAGTGTTCTTTTTTCTGGAGTTTTTCGGTTGGTTTTATGGTTGACTGATGTCTGACTTACTTTACTCTTTGATACTTACAATATTACGTTTGTATTTCTGTTTGCTTTTTGTATCTCTTTACAACATTATTTCTTTCTTTCAACCAATCCACAAAACTACGAATAACATCTGTGCGCGTGTCTCTTATTATTCTTGTAATTTATTGTTTTTTGTTTGGTTTTGTTGTTGCTGTTGTTTTAGGAAATGAAAATCAACTTGAAATGTTTGTGGCAAAAGCTTAAGGCTTTGTAACGCTGTAAAGTTCATGGAACAAGATTGATTTGTTAGCAATCTTGGCTGTGAAGGTAAGATAAAACAAAGTAATCCGCAAACATATGTACATAAGTTTTTGAAATTTAGAAGCTAACACACATATATACATTATAGACGCAGTGAATGATTGGTCCATAATATACCAAAAACATCAGGTTTACCAAGAGGTTGATTTTCGAATGATGATGTTTGAATTTGGATGATTGTTAGCTTTGAAGATATTGGTTATTTGTAGCTTGTGGGTAGAAACTAGTGTATAAAGATAAGTCAACAAGAAAAAATTATCGGGGTCAGATCGTATGTTCTCTTTTCCAAATCGTAAATAGCACAAACAACTAATAAACAGAGTCTATGATCATTAACATCAAGCTTGTGGGTTAGTTAGACTGTACTAAAACTTCGGACAAAATTAAAGTCTTCTTGCAAACTGTCTTAGTTGTTCTCTTCCAAAGAGAAGTCAGATAACTCTGGTTTGCTCTTTTTTTAAAGAAGTTAATACTTCCAAACTTCCAAACAACAATTTAATCAGCAAATAAATCTTATCATCATACCGTGCACGGTTCCAAGCCCAAAATTGAGCACAAACTTTGTGTTTACGGCAGTTGAACTGTGACAAATCTCGATCATCGTAATTTTTGTCACAAATTCTAAGCGCTTTGAAGCTTAATTAGCAAACTGACGCCTTGTTCCCTAATCAATAATGCGAGGCTTCAGGTCTACCGAATCTTAAACGAGTTCTGGTCTATATTTAAAGACCACATTCGAAGGACTTTCAATTTTTAATGGTCGTTAAACACAACAAATTGACTTTATGTTCGATACCTGTCCATAAAGGTCACTCTGACAATGAAAGGACAGACTGCCTAGAAAATAGGTGCGCTCGTCGCCAATTAATTCGCCCTGAGCCCTTCTTTGGCATTCCCCACGGTTAAGCTGAAATCTGAATTTGTTCACCATTGGGTAGCAATACGAGGGTTCAGACAATAAAAACGTTTTATAACAATGTCAAAGGGAAAATCCCAAATCGATCTCAGAGTACTAACGGGATTACTTACTGGAGATTTTGGTCTTAGATACCATCAGTTCACTCTATAACGAATCTTTGCAGATTTTGTGGCCTTCAAGAGGAAACCTCGGATCATATTCTACCTTGGGAGCTACTTTACTAACCCCAAAAGATATCTTCAATTTCTTACCAACTAAACCAGTAATTTGCCATAAAAATTGCCCTCTTTTTGATAAAATATTATAAACAAAAAAGCGACTATTGGGAATGAAAAGTTTGTGACAATTTTCCCTTCGAACGAAATTTTTGTGGAAACAGCATATCTTGTTGCTGATAGAAGTGAATGCCAATGATCAATCTCGGTAACTACTCTCGAACATCCAACAGCCCAACAAAAGTTAATGAATTTTTCATTTTGATCTCTTAGGACTCTTACATCTTGTACGGGTTCAGTTCTAAAAGTCGCCAAGTAGATGTTTGCGAAATCGTAAAATTATGAAAGAGAAACTTCACACACACACTGACAAATCTACTGACTCGGACTCTCCAACTCCAGGCTCAAAAGAAGTTAGATTTTGCGGAAGTCCCTTAAAGCTTACGTAATCGTGTAAAGGTTAAAATTCAATGCCCAATTCGCTAAGTAAAAGTTTACTACAATTTTCGTCTCTCTACTCATTTTACGAACAGTCCCCTAATTCTCTTTGATTGCTTTGGATTATCCTAGTCTTTTTTCGTACAGCAAAAATTTTATTTGTCGCTGCTTGGTCGAACTGATCTTCCTTTGATTGATTTTTTTCAGAATTAGAAACTGGTCACCAAACGATACCTGTGTCTGTCGTAAAAGCAATTCTTATTTGAACATTTGGACTTGGTCTGTTCGTAACTTTTCAGGGAGATCTTTACAAGTTGTTATACGAAAAGTTCTTTAGTTGTCTTTGAATTTGGGACTGCGTTTTTCCCGTATAATAATAAAAACCTATGTGGACTATCTGATCGTGATCGTACCACCACTTGTATCCGACCGAAAATGGAATACAACTCTCATATATGGAGAGTCGAAGTCTATTTTGGAGCTACTCGACCGCGTACAGGAGAGGGCGAAGGTACTTATCGATGACAGTAGTGTATCCAACTCTATTGATTCACTGGAGCACCGTCGCAACGTGGGGTGTATTTCACTGTTCTATCGATAGGACAATGGAATGTGTTCCTTTGAAATTAGGGAACTTGTTCCCGATACCCGTATATTCTTGCGTAACACACGTCTTTCTTCAAGAACACACCCATTTGTGGTAGATTGACCGCATAAGACACTATAGGGAAAATTCATTCTTCAGCCGCACTGTTCGTATGTGGAATAAACTGTCTGCAGAGGTATTCCCTGCCACTTTCGATATAAGAAGATTTAAATCAAATGTTCACAAACACTACTCCCTCTATCCTCCTTCCCACAACCTATTTTCCTAGTTCCAACACAATGCTTCCCATAAGTAGGGGTCATCCCCTGAGTGCTGGTACAATTTAAAAAAAAATAAGACCTTCACGATCATTTGTAATGTAAAAATGCGCGATCGTTTGTTGTCTTTGCATCTGGGACAGCATTTTTTCCATGAAACTGATCGTGCTGCCTCGATCGCTCTTGAAAATTAAGACCTTCGAATGTAAAAGTAAGTAATCTATAATTTCGTCTTAGTCGTCTTAGCAAAAGTTCTATAGTTGTCTTTGAATTTGGGTCAGCCGTTTTCCATATAATGAAAACTAATATGGATCACCTGATCGTGCTGCTTATTTTTAAAATTTTACATTAATATGGCCACCAAAGACTATCAATATCGATCGCCTTTGATTGGTAAATTAAGACTTTTACGTTCCTTTAAAATGTAAAAATGTACAATATATCAATTGAGAATTGTTGTTACTAACTCTCAGTAGTGACTGTTAGAGAAAAAATCATTCTTTGTTTGTTGTAAAACTTATTCTAAATCTATCAAAACTTTGATAAATGATAAACATTCAAACTTATTTACTACTAATTACAACATATAAAAACAATTATACTTCCATTAAACTTTAAACTAAACTTATGACAACTATAAACAGAGAAAGAGAGAGAGAGGAAAGAGGAAAATTGCTGATCGATTACAAATTCTCATAAAATTTCTTTAGAACAATTTACGAGTACGTGCACACATAAACCGAAGCAATAACAAAACTTTTATCTTAATCAAAATAAACGTTTTTTTTTTTTTTGAAATTCTTTGCTGCCTTTCCTTTCATTCACTTTTAAACGATCAATTATTATTTTTGTTATTATTTTTCACATTCTAAACAATACTTTTTATTTATTTATTTTCCACCATATACAATTTATAAAAAAAAAACTAATCGAAAAGAGATAGAGAGAGAGTATGTTTCATTTCTTACTGTGTTCCTTATAGCAGCAAGATCAAACCTTAAAACTCTCTGAGAGCAAGTGTGTATAAGTGTGGCAAGAGATTGTACCTGTGTGAAATTATCACTGTTTAGTTTACTTGATCTTTACTATTGTAACGTCGAGTTCGTCTTCTTCGTATCTTATAGTTTGAGTATATTTCAGTTGGTATTTTCGAACGAACGCAAGAAGTAAACAACTTGACGTAGTTAAACACGAAAAATATCTTTCATTCCGTCACAATTAATCGAAGTGAATAGATGTGCGTTCGGTTAAGAGAAAAAAAATCATTATCATTAAACAAGAAAAAAATAACGTTTAAATTATATTAAAAAAAAAAAAACTTAAAAATAACGTATTTTTTTGCGGTAACGGAAAATAAATATTTTTGTTTATTTATCTTTTATAAAAAAAATATAAAGCATTATAATTTAAACAAAATAGAAATATGAGTGAAAAATAACTAAAAAAAATTATTTAAAATTTATAATAATTTACCAAAAAAAAATTGATATTATGTGAAATGTTAATAATTTAAAGTACAAAGCAAAAGTAATTCTTTAACAGCAGAAATAAAAATTTGTTAAGAAAATTTTATTTATATAAAAAGAAAGCTCTTAGGAAGTGGATTTAGCAATTATGTGGAACAACAGCGAAATTAAATATACAATTTTTTCGAATTTTCATCAGCCCACAAATACAAAATCTCAAAAACGGATTAAATATTTAAATTATAAGGTAAGTTCCTCTATGATTACATAAAAGTGTTTGAAATGAATGATGGGGTTTTAAAAATTTTACTGCTGTTGGTCTAGTTTTAGATCTCTAGCTATTTATGGATTTTTGTATATAATAAGATCTGTTCGAAATTGTAATTTCATGGAAGTAGTACCCAATGAGATTTCAATTGAATTTGGAAGTAAATTAGGTCTTGTTTTAGATCTTTTTAATACTTTTAACTATTTAAGGATTTTTTATATAGTTAGTTCTGCTCCGAGTTGTAGTGCTCCGATGTTTAGGAACTCAGTTTCGTGGCAGTAGTACCCAATGAGATTTCAATTGAATTTGGAAGTAAATCAGGTCTAGTTTTAGATCCCTTTAATACTTTTAGCTTTTTTTTTGGTTTATTATATAGTTAGTTCTGCTCCGATGTTCAGAAACTCAGTTTCGTCCAACTTTTTATAATTGCGATTGTAATCCTGGGTGTCCACTCTCTGAGGAGTCTTCACTCCATGTTCTTGTTAAAGAACAAAATTAAGTAAAAATCCCTCAGAAGTTTTGCTTCTTAAAAACACACAAATCGGTCAAAATACGAGAAATTTCGCTTTCGATGTTGGAACTATAGCTCTTCTAACATTCTTAGATTTTTGGCCCTAATCTATGATTTAATGCAACCCCAAAGAAAAAAGTCAAACGAAGTTAAATTCCACGTCCGTCTATCCAACTGTCCGTCCATCTTGAAAAATATACAGAGAGACCAAATAACTAGAATTTATATCGCAATTTCATTGAAATCATTACCACGCTCGCTTACAAATAAGCACTTAAATAAGTCATTACGAATAGGGACTTGGGTATCGTCTTCCTTAGTTCGCTGTTGTACTCACAACACCAATAACAACGAAATATATTTAAGTACTTACTTACATGACTATATATAAGTAATTATTAGAGTATTCGAAAGTAATGCAAATGGTATGCAGTATTCATTTTAAAGTAATATATGTCATTACGAAGTTCAGGGGATAGTTTAATAGTGACTCCGGTAGGTTAATTACTAGTATACTAGTCTGTCAGTTTGGAAGTCGTGGATTCGATTTGCACCAGAGAATCTGGCAAAGGAGCTCACAGCTAAGTTCATAGGATAGTTTAGGTTAATTGCTAGTATTCTAGTGTTGAAGTCTTGGGTTCTATTGTCATCATAGACTCTAGGAAAGGAACTCACAACAGGCCCGATAATGAACTAAATGTATTTCTTTGGATCTGCAAAGCACATCCATCCTCTATAAACTAACTATAGTTTAAGGAACATTAATAAAGATTTGACAAGCTAACTGACTTTTCAGAATAGCTCAATAAGAATACCATTAAAAGCTTTTAAAGCAGAAACATATAGCTTTCTAAACATATACAAATTGATAATGTTTAAATATCGTTTTAACAAAATACCTAACAAATTGTTGCACATTATCGCTGCAACATTATTAACGCAAAAATTAACTCTTTAAAATAAAAAATCCTAACAATTAATTGTTAGTTAAGCTAAGTAATTATTTAAAAACACTCACAGCAAAAAAATCAACCAAATAACCGAATCGAAAAAGTTGTTACAAGTCAATAAAGTAATACACAAGGAAAACTTTACAACACAATTATTTACACACATACATACATATGTACATATGTATATATGTATGTATGCACATTGTACAACTAATAATTATAAACAATAACCAGTTAAATATAACTTAGAAATGTTAGAAAACTTTAACTATAAATAGTAAAGAAATAAATAGAATATAAAACATCATTACAATTAAACTAATGATCAGATAACAAAGCCGCAAAAAGAACAGCTTAATAAAACATGAACTAAAAGCTTATAGGCAATAATAATTTTAAATTTGATTTTGCTTCAAAAGACCTAAAAGCCGATTGATTTAAAAAGAGATGAAAACGAAACAACAACAGCTTAGGAACGAATGTATAATAAATCCCAAAACCACATGTAATTTCCACTAAATGATATTATCACAGTAATAAAAATTAGGTAGCAGATCCCTTAAATTATAATCAATTTAAAAGAATCCGCACATACTAAACATTTCGCGTGCAACATCATCATAAAAACACAAAAACCGAAAAACAACAAAATAAAAACAAAAAACACTGAAAAAATAATAATAATAATAAAATACAAAGTGGAAGCCGCATTTGGAAAAATGTTTATACAACTACATACATACATACATACATACATACATACATACATACATACATACATACATACATACATACATACATACATACATACAATACAACCCAACCCAAAAAGCAAGCCATAAAATGTATGAGGAGCAGCCAAACACCGGCCAAAAACAACATTTAACGTTCCGCAGAAAACCCTCATCAATTGTGATCCAACAGCATACAAAAACGTTAAAGCTGAAGTTTATTTGTCTCGTTGGACGATTTTATGTCTGCAACAACAATATTGCGAGCAGCAACAAACAAACTCGACAATGACGACGTTAAAGACGAACCAGAAAACTACAAAAACAAAATAAAAAGGTTAAAGCCAAAAAGGCAAAAGAAAAAAAAATAAATGGGGAAACGAAAACAATCTAACCAACCATTCAACCCAACCAAACAACTAGCCAAACAGCCAGCCAGCCATTCAGCCGACAGCGATAGCAGCTACTGTTTACCGCCAAAGAGAAGATCAATGGGCGCATGCGCCCATTGATATATACGACAACCGTAAAGATGATGACGACGATTACAATGACGAGAAGCTTACTTTTTTTCATCTTCTTCATCATCATCATCAGCAACGTAGTAGTATATATAGTGGTCGTCTTTTCATCGTCATTGTCTTCTTCTTCTTCTCCTTTCGGGACTGGCTTTCTTTTAATAACACAGCATGACCATGTGTAAATGCATTCGAAATACAAAACAAAAGTTTATCTAAAAGAATGTTTACGTCGAAGGAAATGTTGTTTATGCTAAATATGTATGTATTCTCGAGTTCGATTCCCTTTATTCAACACATTCAACAGTTAAAAGCTTTCAAACGTCGAACTTTTTAATTAAAAGTAAAATTTTGTTAAAATTGTTCTTCTATTAATGAAAATTCGAACATAATTTCGAAAATATTCTAAAAACTAGTTTCTGATTTAGTTGCTAAGAAGATAAAAATTTCGAAAGAACTTATGAAATTTGAATATTTTTTCAATGTTCGAAAATTCGAACTTAATTTTAAAATTATGAAATATAACTTAAACAACTTTAAATTACTTGTAGTTTATTAATAATCATTAAATATGCTTAAAAGCTTTTTAAATTTAGCTATTTTATATTTTCGAACATAGAATTTTACATTAATTATTAAAAATTTCTATTTATATCGTTTGTCTGTGCGAAGAGCAACTCAAATAAAGGTTTTTTATTTATGTTCGAAAATTCGAACTTAATTTCGAAATCCTAAAATATGGTCTAAACTATAGCATTTCATCTATTATTCATGAAAAATCATTATATAAGTTCGAAAGACTTTTAATTTAGCTTTTTCAGACTTTCGAACTTAGAAGCTTTAAGACAAAATATAAAATTTTGATAAAATTTATTATATTAGGCAAGAAGCAATTTAAATATATGAGTTTTAATTATGTTCGAAAATTCGAACTTAATTTCGAAATTCTAAAATATGGTCTAAACTATAGCATTTCAGCTGTTATTCATGAAAAATCATTATAAAAGTTCGACAGACTTTTAATTTAGCTTTTTCAGGCTTTCGAACTTAAAAGCTTTAAGACAAAATAGAAAATTTTAATGAAATTGATTATATTAGGCAAGAAGCAACTCCAATATATGGTTTTTGATCATGTTCGAAAATTCCAACTTAATCAAAATTCTAAAACTTAAGCTTAAAGCTTTCGAAATTAAAATTTTTAATTAAAAATTTAAATGTTTATTATATTTTGTTTGTTTATATATAGAGCCACTCAATTATACACTTTTTAGCCATGTTCGAAAATTCGAACTTAATTTCGAAATTCTAAAATATGGTCAAAATTAAATTAATTTGTCTACAATATAAGCTTTCGAACTTTAAATCAAAAGCGTAAAATTGATTTTAATTTTTTTTTTTGCCAACTTATAAAGTAATGCTTTTTACAAAATTTCGAAAATTCGAACTTAATTTCGAATCTTAAAATTTCCCAGTTTTTGTTTAGTTGTTATTTTTCTTAATTTTTTCATCGAATTCAACCCCTTGTCAACAACATTATTTTAAATAACTGATTTTATGCTTTTATTTTACGTTTTGTGAGCTTTTGAATGTTGTTGTGCCTGTAGCTTGGAAATGAAAGAAAAAACTTAAAATTTTAAAATGTTTTACGAGACCGTTTCATCTTCACGTTCACGAGAGCAACAAAGAAAAAACAAACCGACAGACAGACATACGATCTTCAACAAAACAACAATAATAAAAAATAACCGAAACAGACGTAATCATCATGCTCTTAATGTAGCGCATACTACCTGTAAACATTTAAAAAATTGCCACAAGCACATAAACAACAACAACAATAACAACAGCAGCAGCAACGAGAAAACATCTTTAACGAAATGAAGAAGTACGAAAGCACACGAACAAAAAAAAGCACAACAAAATTAAAGAATAACTTTACCGAAAACCGAAACTACAATCAGCATTATTTTACTTTAGTTTAAGTACAATCGGTTTCTTACTTTATTTTAGTTAAAAACACCAGCGACCATACCTTATAACGTCTTGTCTCTTTACAGAGTCAGAGTTATTGTTGCTGTTGGATTTTTCGTGTATGTTGTTTTTGTAGTTTTTGTATCTTTCTTTGCAACATGCCGCCAAATAGTCGGCATTATACAAAGTAAAAAACGGCACGGGCTTAGCGCGTTCAGCTTAAGTTATATCTCAAATATACAAACACACAGATACTTATTTACACATACATACATATGTACATTTAAACTACTTT